AGGGTTAGTTAGGGGGTTAGGGTTAGTTAGTTAGGGTTAGGGTTAGGGTTAGGGGGCTAGGGGATAGGGTTAGTTAGGGTTAGGGGTTAGGGTTAGTTAGGGTTAGGGTTAGGGGGTTAGGGTTAGTTAGGGCTAGTTAGGGATAGGGGGTTAGGGTTAGCACTGCACTCAGTTGACCCGGTCATCCAGCCTGCTTCCGGCTAGGACATTTCTGCCTAGACCACTTCCGCTAGGGCCCACTTCCGCTAGACCACTTCCGCCCACTTCCGCTTCCGCTAGGGGCCCACTTCCGCTTCCGCTAGACCACTTCCGGTTATGACGTCACTTCCGGGCTATCGGGGATCCTTATACTACTGCTATCGCTATATATTACCTCCCACTTTTGAAGCTGGGGGTATAAAATTCTTAACTATATACTGGTTAGGTAAACATGTGCTGTATGGTAGACTTTCTTACCAATCGCTGGTGCAATGATTCCGATTGAATCACCACAGAGTCCATGTTCAAAGAATTCACTATATAAAATCACAGGTCAGAGTGTTGATCACTATTGTGCTAAGGCTAAAGTCAGCCAACTCTCACTTGATATAGTTAAAACATATTGTATAGCTCTTATAAGGAGGAAGGTAGAGGTTGACCATCATTCATCAGCTAACTGCTTTATCCTGTGAAGTGGTCACAATAGCCCTAAAATAGGAAAAAGCATAAACGAGATGTGTTTGTGAAAATAACTGATGCTCCCACAGGGTATAGATAATGGTAAAAGTTGATGTTTCCCATATGCAAGTCAAACTCCAAAGGTCGAGGTCAAAAGATTAAAATTGTTGACATCCAAAAGAATTAAGGTTTTGTCCCTTAGGTCACACCTGTGAAATATAAAAGCCCTAAGTGCTAACTGATCAAAAGTTATGACAAAAGGTTAAAATTTTCAAATTCAGATTCAATTTTAACTCTTAGGTCAAAGTCAAAAATATATAAGTATTGGCATTGAAGGTTCAGTCAAATATAAATACACATGTTAACCTAGCCCCAACTCAGGGCTTGATACATGTATTTCATACATCCAAAGAACCGTGTCCCCATTGAACATGAACTTTTTTCCCCAAAAGAAGGTGGGCACATTTGGCGAGTGATCTGCAGGAATCCTTTTACGAAACATTTATGGTTTAAATGTCCATGATTTGGTTGGCTGAACATAGCTAGTCAGATTTTACAAACACGTCCATAGGTTTTTTTCATTTAGTTTGAAAGACATTGTGAAATTGTAACATTTATGTCCGTTTTCCTGGGGGTACTAAAACAAAGTAATGTTTCACAAAAAATAAACACCTAAAATATTTAACGCATTGATGCATGATACGTGTACATGTACATTATAGAATAGAAGATTAGAATTGATTTGGCTCAAAAACCAAACTGAACCAAATTTATCTAATTCAAAATTTTAATACATCAGTACATAAAACGAAGCTGACAAAATAAATGGTTGTTTGCATGGGAAAAAAACGCCCCATGCCAGGCTCGAACCAAAAACTTTTCACTTCGAGTGCACTGGACGGGTAACCCAACTTACTGAGCTATCACCGCTACACAAATTTTTCGTGGTCTCTGGGTCTTCTCTCCATTTTTTAAATAAGTGTTTTCGTTTCTTTGAATGAAAATACACACAAATAACGTTTCAAAATCATGGAGAGAAGACCCAGAGATAGATAATTTTTAGAAAAACGTGTTTAAAATTTACCATTTTGTACTAAATGTCTGATCTGGGCAATTTTCAAGTTATTTTTGAGCAAATCAAAGCTCAATTTCGGGAAAACATTTTCATTTCCTGTTGCACAGGAACCCTATAGATGAAAAGTATGTTAAAATTTCATGTGACATGTTGATAAAATTTTCACTTTTCAATTACGCCCAGATTCCTGCCGAATGCCAATCAAGGCGCCCTCGTTCTTTCGGTTAAAAAGATACACAATTTAATATATTGGCAAATTGAATTTTTCTGTGCTTTTTATCATACGAAAAACTTGAGATTTTAAAAATTTAATGATTCATTGACATGTAATTAACAGGGAACAAGCCTTCAAAGTATTACTTTTTTAACAGTAAAACTAATTACAAGGGAAATACCATAGACCCATATACACCCACTTAAAAGACAGGCAGGCAGACAGACAGCTAGACAGACGGACGGTCGGGAAGACGACAAACAATGGGTGAACAGAAAAGCTCACTTGCACTTTCAGCTCAGGTGAGCTAAAAACGCATGGATATCATTTGTACAAAAGATCTTTGATAGATGTGGTTTATCAAATATATATGTATGGTATAAGCACGAACAATGTTTATTTGATATAGAATGGATAACTTTTACAGTCAATCAAAGATTAAAAGATCAATATATTTAAATAAATGTGGAAAAGTGAAGTTCAAGAATCTTCAAAAAGATTAAATCATAGAATTTATAAAACCAATTTTGAGGGCGAAAAATATTTAACACTGTTATCATTTAAATCTAGAAAAAAAAAAACTTTTGTTTAATTTAGACCCACAAATCACCACCTTTCAATTGAAACAAGTAGATGGAATGATACTCAGAGAAATAAAAGAGTTTGTAGCTTATGCAAAGTAACGAGATAGGAGATGAATATCATTATATCTTAGAATGTAGTGCTTTAAACCAACTGCAGAAAGTTTATTGAAACAAAAAGTTTGCTCTCTTATCCAAATATTGTCAAGTTTTGTGAAGTGATGTGCCAAAATGATGTTGATTCTTTGAAAAAATTATGTACATTTATCTGTAATATTAATGATATTGTCTGTTCTCCTTAGTTATTTTCTTCTGCTAGACCCAATGTATTATATGTATATATGTTATATTTGTTTTTGTACCTCATGTACCATTTACATGGTTTTGAGTGAATAAATTGAATTGAATTGAATTGTCTTTTCTTTATTATCTCCCCATGTGAGAGGACATGGCTCTTCATTTTTACAATTTTAATTTTCTTTTACCCATGAATGCTTTGCACCAAGTGTTGTTAAAATTGACCCAGTGGTTCTTGAGAAGAAGTCAAAAATGTGAAAAGACTTTAGATGAACAGATAGACACACTGACGGACACAAAAACTACATACCTCGAAATTTCGTTTACGGGGGTTTAGAAATTTCACATACAATTCGGTTGAAGCTATAAATAAAATGTCTTACTTCTATTGTTAGCATTCCTTATTTGCCACGACGATCAATAATAAACCTAATGCAAAGATATTACGTTGCTTTATCGTGAATTACTTGTACAAAAAGATAATTTATTTTAAACTTCAAGCGAAAGAGTTAAGAATAAGGAAACGAAAGTTTGAAAGGTGAGTCGCATTTTTGTTAAAATATATTAGTAGGAATAAAAATCATTTTTATAAGAGTATTAAAATTCTAATTAATCTTTTGATTTTTTTATTGAGAAATGAAACAGTTTATTTGATGTTCTTTTATAACCAATGCTCGTTTTTGTGTGTAGATCAGATCAGCCCTTTATAATAAAAAAAAATGGGACTTACCGGGTGTGGAAAATTTGGAAAGGCATTTCTCATTCTCATCAACATAATTTTCTTTGTAAGTATTAAAGTTAATTCATATATGAGCGTGTATATATCAAAATAAAGCCCTAAAGCTCAACTGAGGATTTTTGTGGGTTTTTTTTTCATATTTTTAAATATTGCTATGATCCGATAATTGAGACATTATTTAAATTTTGCGTATATCAACAAATGGAATTGCTTTTTGTATAAATAAAAGTAGGACTTTAGAAACTAATTATTATTTTCACGGCTCTTCAAATGGACGTTTACAAGCCAATATTGATCGCAATAAGACCCAAAATCACTATATATATTAGCAATAATTATATACAATACGGTATGTAGAATATAAAACACTAACGTTCCATCAATACTCTAAACATTGTGTAACTGTTCACATTCTGGAACCATCTGGAAGGTCATTGAAAGAATACCTTTGTACTGCGTTATTCCTCTCCATGTTATCTAACCATGTTTATATTTTGTGTCTCCCTTTTGGGGAGATAAGCGAATCTCCTTTGATTCATTCTTTGTTTATTTTACCTGTTATTGATAGATAAGACACGACGTCACCATTTTAGATAAAGATCGTCGTCATTGCAGATCAATGAAGAATTTTTACGAAATAGAGTTTAGCAGACGTTTCACATGATTTATAAAGAAAACAAATTCGGAATGTCATTGCTCTCCAATAGCTACTGATTTACTGAAATAGGCGGTAAAGCAGCCTCAATCGACAAAATATGTACAATATATTGTGAGCTATTAAAAATATTAGGTGTCTTTACCTTTATCTTTAAGTTCAACATGATATAAATGGAAATTAGCATTCCCCTTTTTATTTACTGTAATACGGTGTCATTTTTTGATGTGCAAAGATTATGACCAAGGTAAAATCGCTCGAAGTTAAAATTTGAAGGTTGTGTATGCCTTTAACATAAAAAGTAATGTACATAAAAACGAAAATACAACTCTTTCATTAAATTTTTTCAACGTCTTTTCCTCGCTTCGTATTTACCATGTTGACCATTGGAATTTAGCGCAGCACGAACCCGATCTTAAACCATTATGAAAAATTAAAAATGCTATAATTCTGTCAAATATCAATGAAACGAATTGACATTTAAACTTGATCTGTAACAGTTACTAATTGAGACACACTCACATACCAAAATTCAGCTCCATATCTACAAGCGTTTAGAAAAAAATGCGGACAACAAAGTAGGACAGACTGACAGACGGACGGGGACAGCTAGACGGACGGATGGACGGACAGACGCAGAGGAAACCTATAGTCCCCTCCGGTTAATTTCACCGTTAGGGGACTAATGATAAAAAGAGATTTTATAATTCTACTTTACACAACTTTATTGAGGTACATGGGTAACAATATAATGTACTATATTTTTAGCAATTGGTTATAAAATTTAATTTAGGTTGAAGGTAATGCAGCATTACGTTTTCTGTTACCCCATATATAAGTCTAAGATTGATTAAAAGTCAATGTAGGTAAATCAATCTATATTTTCGTCACCCATATACACCTCGTGGTCATCAATACAAATTCTAAATACTGACATTGTACATTATTCATTCTGAGATAAGTCAAATGTTGACTGAATGTTATTCATACCAGTTGTTCATTTTTCATTGTATTCACTCTGAATTGTCAAAGAAATATTTTGTCAAAGAGACCACAGAGACGGTGACTTGAAGATAGAGTATGCTTACTCTTTCATGGCACCTGATACCATACCACCTCTGATATTTTCAGAGGTCAGAGTTTGCTTTGCCCCTCATCTGTTTTGTTTTGATGACCTGTAATCCATTTCAAAAATTAAGCCCAAATGAAATTACCTTTCTTGCAAATTGGTACACTTTTCACAATATAAATTTCTCCAAATAAATGCATTGGATATGTTAAAAATAGAAAAATTATCGAAAATAATTATTAGTTAAAAATAAAGAGAAAATGTATAAACAATCAATTTCAAAATAAAGGCATTTTGGATCGCTTTGGTAATATAATCTATGTGCTGATACTTGATTTAACTTGTTTTCACTTATATCTTCTAAACATTATTACATTTTTCATCACTGAAATATTCATACAGGTTCTTTAAACATTTTCAGACTAAATTTGTTTGTATTTCAGCTGCTAGGACTTGGACTTTTCATCCTAGGAATTTTAATGAAAGTCAATGTATCAGCAATAAGTGACGAAGTAAAGCCAGCACTGAATGCAGTCACCGTGACTAGTTTTAAATTAGGAGACTTGGTGGATAACTTATCTATTCTCTTTATTGCCATTGGTATCTTTGTTCTCATTGTCGCGGGCCTGGGTCTGTTTGGTGCGTGCTGTGAGGTCAAATGCATGCTGGTTACTGTAAGTGTCCATCTGTACTGTGTTGCTGTATTTTAGTTTGTTTTTCTGATAGTTAAAAGGAGATAGAAAGAAAAATGAAAGGATCAATTAAAAACTGTACAGATTGCACAAAGAAATGAAAGAAAAAAAGATTTCTTCTATGTAATCATAAAGAAATTATTGTTAAAAATACTGCTTAATCAAGATTCTTACCTTTACAGTATGCTATGCTTGTAATATTACTTTTCATTATGAAAGTAACAGCGGTTGCCTTATGGTTTACAATGAAAGGTGAGGTAGGTACATTTCTATCGCTAAACTTCGTGTACATTTGCTAAAGCATCAGCGTTTTCTTTGTTTTATGGACTTTGAGATTGAATACTGTTCGTTATCTCCATATCCTTCTTGTAACAGCTAAGTTATCTTGAGTACATGTTTCAGCTGGATGATGCAGTTCAAACTGGCATGCTAAAATCCCTGAAGGCTTCATACAAAGATGATACAATCAACAGCCCCAGTGATGTTTCTAATGCATGGAATTATATGTTTATGTCGGTAAGAATACTTTATTGTCTATAATAGTAAGATTTAAAAAAGAAATAGTTTTATGAATGTCAAAAAAACGATTACATAGCTTTAAAAATAATAAAATATATTATATCTTTTATTCTTTTAACAATTTAAAGTTAGATTGTTGCGCTGTGAGCAATAGTCCAACAGACTTTGATAACACACCATGGGACAAAGGTTCAAGATCAGGCGCCAAGATTCCCAGAACCTGTTGTAAAGGAGTTGATTCCTCTGACTATTCTACTGTATCTAGCACCTCTCAGTGTGTCAAGGGCATCTCAAGGTTTAATGCAAAGGTAATATTGAATTTCGACGCTTCATTCCAAATTTACATTTTTGTAAATCTATTTTTAAAAAATATTCCTGCTCCATATTTTTCGCATTATTATTTCTTTTTTGAATTTCTTAAATATACTTTACTCCTTTGTTTTTAAGGGGTGTTATGAAGCTCTCCAAGATCAAATTTCGACATACGGGAATGTATTTATTGGAGTTGGAATAACTATACTATTAATCGAGGTATTTTTATTTTTGTTTTTTTAATATCTTAATTTTATGGAAGTCTATCTCAGCCATAATTTCTATATAAAATTTATCTTTCAAATTTAAAACAAAATATATAGGAATATCTAAATTACTTTTTTCAGATGTATACAAGCAGTTTTTAAACTTTTATTCATAACCAATTTTAATTTTTCATTCCTTGCAGCTTCTAGCTGTTGTCTTTGCTTGCATGATTTGCTACCAAACTGGAAAGGATGAAATAGTATAAGACAACGCTCTTCTGTGGAGACCTGAAAGAACACTGTGATACGTAGGACTGAGGCTTTTTAAAGACTATTTGTAGATAGTTCTGCAATTCACTCTACTTAACCTTTTCGAAGACCAATCAGACATACATATAACATAACCCGTTGGTTGACTCAATCTTTAAATACTTACTCAAATATCCTGAAGGTTCTTTTATTATAAGATTATAAATGTTTCTTTTTGCCTAAATGGAATATCAGTCCTTATTTATATTATGAATAAGTATGTTTTTCACAGCTGAAAATTTTCAAGAATATTTCGATGAATTTGATTAAATCTAAAATTTATTTCTGTATGATATTTTCTAATATATTAGCTCTGTTCAAAATAGCAAATGTGATTGTTGACAAAAATGTTGATTCATTAAAAAAATTATTCACTTCACTACTTATAAAAATTCAGACATTTCAGGCCGAACTTCTGCTTCTTTAGAAATGAAAACACTTTTGATTAAATTTTGCTAGATAAGATGTTCTAGATGCTAAGTTGATTGGCAATAAAATTTTCTGAAAAAAAAATCACATTTCTTAACTACTGAAATTGTTTTATCGAAATTAAAAGATTAATATATATGAATTCGCGGACACATATAACACAGTTTTTCCAAATAAAAAAGAAAAAAACCTTTTGAAGACATAAATAACCTTATGAATACTTCTCATAGGAAAAGAAATTTTAGATTTCATTTTCTTACAATAGCGATTAAAATCAATTTTTACGACGAATTTGTGCCTAAAACTTTCCTGTCTTACAGAATTAGAATGACACATTCTGATCTGTTGTAGCACACAGTGGCTGATTCTAAAGTTAAATGATTGTGTTTGAATTTCATGCGATGTAACCCTGTTTATATCAATAAATCTTTTTGAACACGAAATTTAATTAATCTTTAAAATTAAAAATCCACATTCCACCTTAATATGTGTTCTTATGCAAGGAACAGGGATTAGGCTGATATGCAATATGCATAGACGTAACAGTTTGTCTCCCATTCGTAGAAAAATATATATGCGATTTGAATATAAATATGAATTAATATTGTTACACAAAAGTAAACGTCATTCTTACATATGGTTAAAAGCAATGACATTTTTTGGTTTTGCACAAAAAGTGACTGTCAGTTACAGTCTTAACCATCGCTATGTCGTGGTAAGAGGGAGTGGTAAATTAAAGCGTTTGCATTAGATTTGCATAGTAAGAACTTCCAGGTTTAAGTCGAGGCGTTGAAACTAATCCTTTGGACGAGACCTTATAATTCAAGTTACCCTGTCGCAGTAGGCGCTGGTGTAAAATAAGGTTCTTCACTTCTCCGAGTCCTGAAAAAAGTCAAATTTGCATTCCTCCACCTGAAAGTTGTGGCGTCTCAGAAAGGACGATAAAAATCAGACAAATTATTGCAATATATATGTTTGTCTAGAATTCTACAGTTTTCCTCATGGTTATCGCAAAATGAATGGATTTACAAATACCGTATAAATAGAATTTTTGGCGAGGATTTAAATTTGGCATTATTAGCGAGGGTGCCGATATCGCTAAAATTGAATATCGCTAAAAATTAATTGCGTTTTATTTGTAACAGATTCCTTATTATGCATTTTAAAATCGCTAAAATAACAACTCGCTAAAAATAAATGATCAGTTTTTAAGGTCAAATCGCTAAATTTGCGTCTCGCGAAAATTTCCATTTATACGGTACAAAAGTGGGGTTTTTTGTATTTTAAAAAGTTCTACCTTCCTAGTTACATATGGAATATTAAAATGAACCACGTTGTCTTTCACAATATATATTAGAATAAACCCCTGCTAAGTAAAAAGATAAAGGACAAAGTTTTTTCAAGAATTTTAGTCATTTTATCAGAAGAATTCACCGTAGTTGCGGACTTTGGAGAAGCAGTTTCGTGTCAGAGTGTACAATTAATCTTTTTCTTTACAAAATTTTTATGTAATATCTCCTAGAGAAAAAAATTCAGTGTTTCTATCAAGTATGTATATCTTTTCATTGACATGGGTAAAAGCTGTCATGCTTTAGAGTGCAATTGAATTGTAAGATTTTCTCCTGTTTCATTGAAAAATCAAATAACTGATGCCTTGTTTTAGTTGTGCTTTGACGTGAGTTTGTCATTCATCATAGAAAGTCAAAAAAATTAAACGATGCAAAAAAGTGAGAGAAAAAAAACACATACAAAATCGAAAGTTGAGGTAAGGTGCCCAGGAGGAGTAAACATTTCCTGTCCACTGGTCACATTCGTCATAAGCCCTATACTATTGATCCTGTAGACAGAACAATTCGCAATGTAATCAAATTCAGTAAAAGTCAAAGTCCTAAAAATTAATTTGAAACACGTCAGGTAATGACTTGTATATTTTATTTGATAATATTTGTTATACGAGGGACGTTCAATGAATAATGTCCTCGGTGCTCGGAAAGAAACAAAAAAAAACCTTTTCTATGATTGAGTCCTAATGATTAAACTTAGATATTCTCTTTGAATGAAAACACATGTCCGCAACATTTTGATTCAATTTCTTATTGTTTTTAGAACACTTTTTTGAGTCTGACCCTTCGTATACTGGAATATGGCAGATCCTATGGTTTCCTGTACTTGTTTTTTTTCTGGTGTTTTTTCAAGTTTGCGAAATGAAACAAGTCAAACGTTGAAAGTGCTGGCCAATATTGTCGGTGTGACAAAACATTAACTTTTTTTATCCCCAGAACTCCTTTACTATTCATGGCCTGTGGGTTTGGACGCTGTCATGAAGGAAATTTAATGTAATTAATTCCTCACTCTGGCTCCTTCCTCTCATAAACCTTCCACTTTTTTGGAAACATTTTGCTTTCTAGATTCTTCCAAAAATTGAAATCACTTCCCCAATAAGAATTACAACAACAAGACCACTAATATTTAAGAAAATAGTATATAAAGCTGTTTTTGAGCTCTTCCAATTCTTTGCTCTTTTCAGCCCTTAACGTTTTGTCAAGTGTATCTCATTGTAAATTTTGTTTTGAGGGTTTAAAGCAAAATGGATTCAAGTTTCATTATCTGTTTGAATATCAAACAAACATGGATAATTACATTTTATTTAATTTTTAAAAGATTTTTTTAGATATTCCAAAACGCTATCGTTTTCACTCATTTTTCAAGTATTAATATTTTTTTACTATCAAATGTTTCCTTAAAACAGTATGAACTACACGCAAAATAATGTCTATCAAATTTGCTATGTGTCTTAAAGTCAACTAAATATACTCAGTGATAATTTGTTGAATTTTTGCAAATAAACATAGGTTGTTGTATGTCCTTGTCGCCAAGGATGGTACCCATTTTTGATGCCCATTATATCATTTTTTTTTTCATTGAAATGCACCTGCTCATGTGTGTATAAAACAGGCATTTGTTGCTGTAAATTTCACATACATGTACTTCAGTTAATATTTCTTTGGGATTCTTAACAAGTTTTATAGCAGTTTTAATGAAGCGTTTAATTTCACTCTAGCTTACTGATTCTTGCAGTGTCTCGAGCAGCCCTTGTTTTTCAGCTTCTCGCAATGGAATTATGTGATGCAAAGTGGTCACATAAACTGTTATCAACTCATTAAAGATTCAATAATTAGAGAAAGTCAAGCTTAATGGCATATGATTTCTATGTTGTATGTCATCGAGCTGATGACATTATTTATTGAACGTCCCTCGTATAACAAGGTCATTATAACGACCTTAAAATTTTCAAAATGCCAATTTTAAACCAGAGTGTTGAAATCTTTGTAACATCTGTTCATCAGTGAGAAGCATACCCTCTTTAAAAAGTGATCGAACTCAGAACAAGCTTTTGAATGGCCAATTAGTTGGAATCAGAAACACAACAAGCAGGTGATAATTTAATAATGCTACATGAATTAAAAAGAATCACGAAGGTAAAAGTAAAGTAGCCTCCTTTGTCATACAAAGCAGTTGATAGTTGGTCTTTATCTTCTATCTAATCAGTAAAACATCCAAACATGAAGTGAGTGTGGTAAACTCGGCAGTGTTTGTATGTCAAGTGCACTGTAGTCGAAATATAATTGAAAATAATTGAAAATGTTAATTGATAAAACATTGCTGATATACTACATGTCATTTGAATGCTACAGCAATTATTTTCCTCCTCTCATGTAGAATCTTTTTAAAAAATACATTCTGCTTCATAAGATGATAAAAACAGGTCAGCTAATAAAAGAGCACAATAAGTGTATATCGGAATTCCAATAATTTGTTGGAGAACTTGCTCTCCGAAAACTACATAAAAGTTGTCCAAGAGAAAATCAAGCATCCTTTTATCATCAACTTCAGCGTCCTCGATCGTTTGTACAATCAGAGTAAATTTTTAAGAAATTGATTTGCTTATGACAAATCACAAGATTGTAACATTTCTGAGTTCTCTTTTAATTAAAAAGCAGACGATATCACTGCAGTATCGTCTGCTGGAACCATAACATATTGTCCATGTAGTCACTATAACTCTTATATCACTTCTGGTGACATAGGCGTTGGAAGCAAATTTAAAGTGGGGGGGTGGGGGGGGGGCTTAACCAACAAAAAAGGTAAACCCCAACTTCCAATGCCTATATTATGTACATATTTGCAAAAAAGTGGGGGGGGGGGGTGCTAAGTCATCAGACAAAAATAAAATAATGTTACTGCATTTCTTTCTAAGATGACTTGTTCACTTTGGATCGATTTGAAACATCAAGGTACTTAATGCAATAAGATCTGGAACCGTGTTGTAGTGATGAATGTGTCCTTGACTGTTCAAAACAAAGAATTTCCTTCGATTATTGTTCCTTAGATTATTGTTTTTGTTGTTTTGCGTATTTTCATTAAATACGTCATGTATGGATTTCGGTATAGTGTGTTGCTTATGATGTAGAAAGAAAAGTAATTCCTGATCATAGAAGACACTTTGTTCATCTGTAAATGTAAAGAAAAAGTGAGTTGACTCTAACGTCTTCTTTAATTAAAATATAAAACAGAAGAAATAATTAAGAATTCATTTGAGGTCTATTATAGGAGAAAATTTGAAAGTTTGCACATTATCCTGGAATATGAATGCTTTCGTTCGAGCTTACGCTTAGAATAGAAATTTGTCTTTTTTAAAATTAAAATTAAATACAATAAAAGTATGTACTAATTCAAGAATTAGGTTATAACGAATTCAACAAATCTGTAATAACAGATTAAATTTGTTATAACGAATTCAATAAATCTGTAATGAAATTAAATTCGTTATAACGAATTCAATGAATCTGTTATAACAAATTAAATTCATTATAACGAATTCAATAAATCTGTTAAAACAAATTAAATTCGTTATAACGAATTCAATAAATCTGTTTAAACAAATTAAATTCGTTATAACGAATTCTAAACTATTTTTTGAAAGGTCCTAAATGGGCTTCCGTATATAACACACCTGGCCGTGCCACAAATTGAATACTGCGCGTTAGCGCGGTATGATAATTTGTCGGCATGGCCAGGTGTGTTATAGGACCGAAGACATCCCAAAATATTTATTCAATACTTAAATTTACATTCTTTAATTTTTCCTCTTCATAATTGTTTATTTCGGTAATCTTTGATGTGAATTTAGCGCCCTTCAAAACTGGTGTGCTTTATAGACGTAAGAGCTGTTTGTGACGTTTGTGACGTCGTCAAGTTAAATAGCGCAAACGAACATTGCGAGGAAAAAAAGTGACAAATTAATTTTAAATGCACATTTGTTGTATTTTTTACGTTAATTCAACAGGGTTAATTTTTCAAATTAAATTGTGTCAAACAATGTACGTTTTGGTGTTCATAAAGTATTGAAAATGCATATAGTTCCTACTGTGTATTCTAACGCGCGGTGACAAGGTTTCGCGTATGTTATAAAGATTTGAACATCATGGATTTCTAATGGATTTCATAAAGAAAATTACACTGAATGTAAATATTCATAATTGATTTGACAATGTAAGTTTTATATAGCTATCAGTATCCTATGAAGAACCACTTTTTTAATTCAAAGGTTGAATTATAATAATGGCGGCAAACAAAATCCCCTTCTCTATTTCTTAAAAACAGAAAAAAAACAAAGGAAACTTTAATATTCATAACTAATTTAATTATGTAAATGAAGAAAGCTTATAAAATTCTATCAAAAACAAAACAGACAATTAATTTACCGATTTAGATATTAACTTGTAAATACAAAATATACTGCATCCTGCATATTTTTCCGGGCAAAAGTGTATAAGGGATGTTTCTTTTATGAAATACACCTTTTCGGCGTAAGAAATTTTGGTGCTTTAAACTCGAAAAATAAGCACATTTTTCCTTTCAAATACATTACATGATCCAGTAAATGTTCAACCAAGCTCTATGATAAACGTGATGACTGAACTTTTCTATCGTCAACTTCCCTTATTTATGCAGCAATATACCTTTATCACCTGCATAAGGAGTGTATGTTTCTCCGGTTGATTCGACACGCAAGAACATGTTCTACGTATGAAGAATTTCTCAAACGAGGTGCCTTTTTGACAAACAAGCATTGACAGAAGAAATCTTGTTTCAGCACATCATTTCGTCAGTTCTATAGTTAATATAATGATCTTGTTAGCAAATACAGTTCATCATTTCGTCAAATACCGATTGACGTTTTCATTCAAATTGTTAGTCCATTATTAGTCCATTGCTTTTATATGCCGCATATTCTGCATATACTAGTATAAACATGATTATTGATGTTTTCACAACACGTTTGCCTCAAGGTATCCTAGTTTTTTTTACCTTCAATGTCCTCGAAGAGAAATCCCATTTTCAATAAATTAAAATAAATTTATTAATAAATCATTTCGATAAAAATGTATTTCAATTGTTATTCTTATTTCTAATGCAGTGCATGCCTTTCTGTTTCTTAGTATCTGCAATTTAATTTTCAAAGTTCTCTTATTCAATATCTCAAAGCAATTTTCTTTCAATAATTACTATTTAGAATGCTTCATTTACTTGAAAAAACCTTTGCTTAATCCTTGCCTATATTTAAGGTAGTACAAAATAGATACACCGATGTTTTCCTCAATTCATTTTTTTGAAACTTTGATATTTTGTTCTAGCCTACTAAATCTCTGTATATTTAACATCAAATAAATTCAATCGCACATTTTGTGTCCACTTTGTTTGAAATATAGCCTATCAGATCCCTGAAAGAGGACTGTGTTATCAGACATTCGACTTACGAATGAGCCTTATCTAAAAAGTATCAATTGATATATAACAAACTTGTGTGATGCTGTTTTTACAGGCGACTTTTCTTTTCATTAATACCGGTAAATCTGAGTAATATAGAAGAACATGCATGGCCAGGGAAATGAAAATTCACCTGTAAATATTCGACACTGTAAGTTCTTCAGAAAGAAAACGTATCATTCAATTTTTACAAAAAAAAATTATCAGAGTAATTGGAATGATTTACTGAATAAAAAATGTGCAAAATTGAACCGGTGATTTCAGATATTTTGACAATTAAAAAATCAATTGAAAGTGCATTTCATAGCCTAAATTCACTAAATAATGAAACGTTTTTCAAAAGTATAAAAGATAAGAAATTGAATTAATGTACTGCATGTGTTGTTTTTTGTGATTTGTATGAAATATGAAGATAACGATGTCATATTAGTAACTAATGGTATTCTTTTTAAACCTCTGGGATACAAAACTACTCATATTTGTAAGGTATTTGCATGGAAATTGTTAATATATTGATATCAATCTAGACAGCAATTCTGATTCAGATGCAGTATTGAAATGAGATATAAATGTTAATATGAACATGTTTCAAAAGGTTACATTGGCGTCTGCTCAGTTTCCTCATTTGGAATGCTTCCATTGTGACACTCGCCTTTCTTTTCTTTTGATTCCCTTTTGCAGCAATAACTGATTCCGCGAGGAGCAACCCCAAGGATTCCGAAAACTGGCAATATTATACATATTACCTGAAAAATTGCATAAACTATAAGTAACACAAACTCAAAGTTACAATGACCTATTCCAGCCGTCTTGTTTAAATATTCTAAAAGGTTACTGACTTCAACATAATTGCTCCTTATTTTAAAACCTTGTAAGCAAAGAATAATTCTTTGACCTAGCAAATCAAAAACGTGTTTGTTTTATTGTGTAGATTAGAGAGTTTATTTATTCACTTATTCATTGGCAATGAAAAAGTTTTTTTAATCATGAAAATGATTTGAAAAACGTTTTTAAAAAACATTTCTTTAAAAAAAAAAGAATTATTGTAACTATGAAGGTTAACGTTGACTGGAATAGTGGAGACGACAAGCAAGACTTGATTAATTGAGTTGTGTTAAGTATTTTTTTTTTAGATGAACCTAATTATTATTATCATTCTTCAGGATAATGCAACCAATTTGATTGAATCAGAGCATGTCACGTTTAGGGAGACAATTCGTGATGTTTCCCTTAAAGACAGGATGACAACTTCAGATGATAATGAATAGTGCAAGCAAGCGTGCAGGATGGCGACTTTGTTGCTTCTCTTTTGATGTCAATAAATGTCGAAAAAGTATGGAAGGGAATTACCGCCAAAAGTCTATGTATGTTGCTTTTATTCTTATTCTGACTACTTCTTTATGCTTTGTTATTATTGTAATTATATGTCACTTTATTGTTTTCAATACATTTCTTTATTACATTTCACTTTGACTTTTATCCTTCTTCATTTTGCCCTTACTTCTATGTTGCTTTATTCTTGTAAATTCATTCTACTTTCTTTTAAACTTAAACAGTTTCTTTAATAAATTATTAGCATTATCTCTACTACGAATGTTAATTCAATCACGCTAACAATGAAGCATATTCAATGAAGACGAATGGAAGTTGTCAAACCGTCAAAATTTAGTGCGGCATTATAACGCTAGGTGGCGTAGTGTTCGCTACGAGTGTTGGTAAAACTAGGTAAGAAAACCCCGGGGTTGGGTTATTTTAGGTTCTTCAATACGCCTTAATACTTTACCAATCGAACTTCTAAAGGCCGAATCCGATCTCCCATCGAATGATGGAAACTCCATATTTATTTTCTCTGGGCACACAGGAACAGCGGCTTCTTTTTTTTAGACATAACTGTTACTATATGAATATGTTCATTTAAAGGCCACACACTTTTTGTAAGAGTAAGGGTCAAATAAGTAAATGAAGTACGCATAGTAGGAAAAAAATTTTAATTTATTTATAGAAGAAGCTAATCGAAATTCAAAACCCCCACCCCCCCCCCCAAAAAGGATTTCTTTGGGGTTTTGGAACCCAATTTAAATTTTGGGGGGGGGGGAAAGTTTTAAAAATTTTTTTAGACCTTCAAAAACAACCTGAAACAAAAAAAAAAAAAAAAAGAAAAAAAAATGTGCATTTTCCAAACACAAAAATCCTATTTGGAGGAGGGGTGGGGGGGGGGGTTGGTTAAAGGGTTTCCCATCCCCCGCCAACTTCCAAAAAACCCCCGTTTTTCCCCATTTTAAACCTTTACTGCATCGTGTCCATGGAAAGTGGGGGGGGGGTTAAACCTACGCAGGAATGTTAAATGTTATACTAATTTTATCTTTGGAAAGAAGTGAGGGCTAAGCAGTCAATTAAGCAACCCCCCCTCCCCTTTTCCCAAACCCCTATGTATTTTAAGTTTGGAAATTTCCTTGGGTTTATTTTGCGCTTGTCAAGTTTTTTCATTTGGGTAGCTTGAATATTTATTCTCTTGTTGCCCCCCTCCCCACTTTCAAAAACGATGCTACGTCACTCTTCTCTCGCCTGAAAAATATAACTCTATACTAAAGTTATTTGTTGGATATTTAAATTACAGTTTAATTGTTATCTAAAAATGTTAAATATTTTGATACTAGTTAACCCTTATATATTGGGTTGTTTTTCAAATTTTTCCCACCAACTGAACTTTATTTCACGACAGGTAGTAAGGGATGCGCGTGATTCTAGGGACAGGGCTTTGAGGAGTGAGGAGCTTTATGGGTACAGGGGGATCCCAAATTTTTTTTTCCCGGGGTGGGGGGGGGGCAACCCAGTCAAAAAAAAAAAACCAATCCCAGAAATTTCTTGACCAGCATAAAAAGAAGGAAAAAAAACTTAAAATCGCTCCAACCCCAAAATTCATTTTGGGGGGGGGGGGTTCCTTTTTTAGTAGTAACCTTATTAATTTTTTAGGGGGGGGACCCCCCCCCCCCCGCCCTCTAAAACCGCCATGGAAGGGCGAAATCAACCAGACTCAGGGGACCCAGGCATACAGAAACACCCCGGTTTTTTTTTGCGTTAATATTTTTTTTATTAAAATAGCACTTTTCAATAAAAAAGGAAGTATTTTTAGACGGGAAGTTTTGTCATCAACCAGGGGGAGCTAAAAAAATCTTAAAACTCAAAATACTATTTGGTGGTGGTGAAAAGGGGGGGGGGGGCGTCAACTTTTTTTCAGAAAAAAAATTTTCTCATATGCCACTAAGTACATGACTTAATGTATAAATTTTACATTAGTACTGCAACAAAAAATGTAAGGGATGGGGGGCAACAAGCCTTTCCCCTGAACTTTTCCAAATAGTAAAAAGTTACGTTTAGGAAAATGTTTCGTGGCCTTCCTCCCCTCTACCGATGAAATTACCCCATAGGAGGTCGTCCACCCCCGGGGGTCAGTATATATATATATTGAGACTTTGGTGGTGTGATTGTACATTGTATAATTTCCCTTTTTGAGAATTTTTCACTCAAATGGAAAGCCACCCCCTTGCCGGTGGAGGGGCTATAACCTTTGGGGGTTATAGCCATTGAGCAGTGAGGGAAACTTTTTTAAAATTTTTTTTATATAGAACAAGGGATATAGGTCCCTGATAGAACGTATAACTTTTCTTCAAAAAAATGAAAACGTTAGTATATATAAACATTGTTTTACGATTAAAAAAAATATTCGTGGGAGGGTTTGCTTGGAATGGGGGCGAGTTGCTATATAAGCCAATTTTCCCCCCAAGCCCAGCTATATATTGAAATTCCCCGGGGGGAGTCCCACTGATAGTTTTTGAAAGGGAAACATCACTATGTAGTCAGTCTTCCAGAGGAAACCAAAGGACCCTATAACCCCCTACCCTGTCATAAAAAACTATGTAACTTAAAACCTTTGGGCTTATAACAAACATCAGTCTAGTTTGATTAATAAAGTATTAAGGCAGAAAATTGAAAAAAAAATCGAATAACCCCGGCCCCGGGGTTTTTTTACCTAATTTTACTAACACTCTTAGCGAACACCCCTGCCACCTAGCGTTATTAAAAACCCCCACTAAATTAAAAAACTTATATTCGTCTTCATTGAATATGCTTCATTGTTTGCGTGATTGAGTTAACGTTGTAATAGTTATAATCATTTTTAAAAAACTGTATCAATTTATAAGAAAAAAAATGAATTTACAAGAATAAAGCAACATAGAAGTAAAACGCAAAATGAAGAAGGATAAAAGTCATAGTGAAATGTAATAAAAGAATATGAAAACAATAAAGTGACATACAGTTACAATAATAATGAAGCATGAAAAGAAGCCAGAAAAAGAATAAAAGCAAGATACATAGACTTTTTCCCGGGGGGAACCCCCTTTCCCTAAAAAAAAGATACAAAAGTAACTCTGACATATGAAACATCATTTATGGGGATCCAACTGTAAAATGTGCTTTTGGTTTTGAAAATTATCTTTACAAAATTACCATCTGATCTTAGATTACATTTTTTGTGAATTTTAATGTGTCAGTCATAATTGCCAATTGAAGCCTGGGAAGTTTCAGATTTTTACTGAAATCTGAAAAATTGTTACCTCTACAATAACCATGAACTTGCTGATGAGTTTCATTATTTATTTAAGTGTCCCTTTTTACAGAATGAAAGACAGAAATTTATACCTCGAAATATTAATTTGAACCCAAACACAATACCTTTTTTATAATTTGAGAAACACTTATGTACATGAACTAACATGTTTAGCAAAGTTGTGTAAATTTGTTCTAAAATTATTTAAAACCTTAACTTCCCACAAAATAAATATTAAATGATTTTTAACAACTGTCAGTACTGTCCGGTCCGTATCTTAGATCTTGTTTTTAGTTCATTATGTAAACTGTTCCCCTGTTGATATACTCAATTGGTAATTTTTTATTTTACTAACATACCCCCTGTTGGGGGATATACTCCGATTTAGTAAAGTAAAAAAAACCGTAAGTCGGAAAATAATGAACTTTGTGGTTAAAGGTGTCTGTTTACATATTTTGAAAGAATAAAATCAAACCAGAGGGTAAAAGATCGCAAGGGGTTTGCTTGCTTTCTCATAGTCTATTAAATCTGATTTCTTTAAGATACTGTAAATGCATTAGATTTTGCTGTGTATTCTTTTTAACGTTTTTGGCGGAAAGCAATATCCGCTTATTCAAATACAACGCTAAAAGTCTGGCATATATACCTAAAAGGAAGAACATTGAGATATATACTAAATCAAATCCACGCTAACTTGTTCAAAATCCAATTTCCGCCAAATATTGTATGCGCTAAATATATAAATATAATATATTTATAGTGATAAAATCAAGCAGGTAGAAATCACGAATGATCAAGTCTGAGTAGGGTTGTCACTCTAGGCCAAGCGCACTCGGGTGAAAACCCTACTCAGACCTGTAACTGGTGATTGTCTCCCTTCTAAACAGTCCATATTGTACTTGTATCTTAAATGTATTTTCATTATCATTATCAAATCAATAATTCTAGAATCAACTATTTAGTTTAGTTTAGAATGTAGACCTACCATCGCAATTAGTACTTTCATTCCCTCACAAAGAACCTGCTCGATTTTTATTTTGTGCTTGTCTCTTTCTTCTATTGATATATCCATCAGTGCCTTATAGCACCCCTGAATGAGAAGGAAAAAAAATAAAAAACATGTTGATAAATTTAAAATAAATCATAATTTATCTTTTATTATTTTTCAAGATACCACCATGTTGTTTTGCTTCGGTCTTTTGAGATATTCCAACAATAGATAAGCCCTTAAGAGTTAGATTTTTATCTATAGAAAACTATACTAAAATATTAATTAGAAGAAAAATTTAATAACCTGTAACATAATCATGTCTAGTTATAGATAAATATTTCTTAAACGCCCTATAAAATATTTCAAACGTTTAAAATGTTGCTTCGCCTTTACATGAGTTTAATGCTAGAGTGATATTTCAATATCTCGTGTACATCAGACATTTTACCTTATTATTATATGTTTGGGGTATGACTTGAGCATGACATTCATTAGAAGCTGACTGGTAGTCTTCCATAGTGACTCCAAGGCAGCATGTTTTAGGAATCTGAGAATTTGTAATTTGACATGATCCACTCGTTGTACACCATGGAGTGATGTCAAAATCGTTAGTCGTCCCGTGAATGCTACGAACTCCGCAACACTTATACTAAAAACATATTTAAACAAACTTTCTACATGAGAAAAAAATACTTTCAGCTCAATATCTAGTCTGTCGAGGACAGGCTTTTCTAACGACAAGGGGGTAGGCATATACTTGAGTTCATTAAGAAACACTATATCTACAAAGCGGAGCATCCCAGCGCACTGAGTATATCTATAAATCAAAACTACATTTGACATCAATCCAGATGCAATTTATGTCCCTTTTGTTTCGCACAGCATTAACTCACTTTAAGTGCAGGTTCCTTTTTTCCCCATGAAGATTGCACAAGTTATGTTTTGGACTGTTTACAAAATTACTTATTAAATAAACTGTCATATAATCTTGGTAATTTTCGGAACTCCCTGTCTCTTTCTCAGGACAAAGGGAAAAATTAAAAAGCCATAGGAACAAAGAAAAAAGATAAACAAAAAAACAACTAGCACTACTACTAAACTACCAAACACTATATATTTCTTTAAATCGACTTGCCTCTATGAAAAGGATATTCCACTGGTTTGATGTTGTATTGGGACTTGTGAGGTTATCACTTAAGAAATAAGTCGTAAGAGAAGATATCATAGCGGCTTGTAAAGTGTTCCAATTCTAATATAAATAGAATAATAAACATATAAATCTAAAGAACTTTAACAGATCTGAATTTATAAAATGAAATACAACAAACCATTTTAAAACATTTTAAAGAATGATCATATCTGTATTATTCAAATCAATAAAATATACATTTTATAAGGTATTAAAAACTTGTCCTAAAGGATAGCATACCATCCCTTCAATCTTGTCTTGAAGATCGTGTAAATCGTTATAGTCATCATACATAAGCACAGTCAGAGGTACTGTTGCACCAATGAGCAAAAACTACCAAAAATAATTATACAATTAAAACAATTCTTAATTTTCAGGTAGAAATGTTTTAAAGAATTTTCCTTTTAATTTGTCTGAAAGAAACATCAAGTATTTATTTTAAAGTACATACGCTCACAATCCCAATCTCCACTCGATGATATCTTGATGAATATATTATGAGAAGCCAAGTGGTACCAACGAGGAAAATAATGATACTTAGAAATATGATTCCTTTAAGAATTATTTTATTGGACAAATCCATGACTCTGTCGTAAGGGCAACCTCCTGGTAGATTCACCTTCAATTTCAGTAGTGTACTATAGATGCTACACTGGCTTTCATGATCATTCCTCAATTCAAAACTTTTGCAGATTAGTGGAGTAGTCACAATCTGAAAAAAAATATAATAAGAAGGAGAGGAATTTTACGTGAATAAAACTGAATATAAAACAGTGTAATGAATGCTCCAAATAAGTTGTAATTTATTTAAGATTACTGACCGATATAGTTAGGCCAGCTATCAAGACCACAGGAAATTTCTTCAGCAGTGCTTGATGTGCCATCAGAGAATCTTCCTCTTTGAACGGGTTTAAACTTAGGATAAGAAACATAAAAGTTCATTTCCTAAACTCCGGATATAATTAGAAAGTGTTTTGTTTTTTTTTTCATAAAAAACTTTGTTTTACAAACGAAGAAAAAATTAGGGAAATTAGAAGCAGTATTAAATTTGTTCACATCTGCTCTTTTAAAATGTGTTTTCTTTCTCATTTCTTTAACGAGTTTGGCTCCTGACATTTTTAAAGTTTTAAACTTTTTTATCAAGTATATTTTTAGTTTCTACACATGTGGCTTTATCAAAAATTAAATAATTGATTAAAAAATCGACCTTTCTGCACTCATAAAATGTTATTTTCCTGGCATTGAACATTTAATAAGCTAGAAAATTATTTTAAAGATTTTAACTTTTGCTGAATGTAAGCAGATAAGTAAAAGTTATCTTATATATTCAGAAAAGAACATCAAAAGAGGGGTCATACGATGCAAATTTTTAGATATTTTTTTTAAATGTCAATTTGGCTAATTTTTTCCCTTAACCTTCAGAATATATTTGCTATGTTTGACATAATTCATGGAAAAAATTCATAAGAAATACATTAATAGATATTTCAGAATCAGTATAATACATTTTACTGCATAAACAGTTTTATGTGCAACCATCATGGAAAAGGAATCTAAAATTAACAGTACCGTTTATAGTTCAAAAGGGAAAATTGATCATTTTGTTCTAAAAAAAAATCCGCCAAAAAATATAGTTCCTGGCTTAATGCTACTTGAATGGAATTTAGTCGCGGTGTTTTGTTCATTGAAAATAGTTCAATTTGAATTATAGAATCCTTTTTCAAAGCTAGAACCTAAAAAAAAATAATGCAGAATTTTAGAAATAAAGATTCAGACCAAAATCAGCTCAAAAGCTCAGGATCGAACCTCTTTAAAATGAAACAGGCGTTTCTCCAATTTTAACCTAGGTATATTAGTGTTATACATGTATAATATAATGATTTATCGCATTATTTTTTAGTTACCTCGTAACACAGTCATTATTGGGCAGTGAAACATCATTGCAAAAAATCCTAATCTGTTCTACTACTAATTATGAAATGGCGAATTAGAAATTCAAATCTGAATGAAGTTGTTGTATTTTTTTATTAGAAATTCCATGTTAACTATTAGAATATTTAAGATACTGATGAGGATAAATAATGACCGGAGAAGAAATGATACATGTATTTTAATGTGTTGGAGACACAATGAATTTTCCTTTTGTATTAAACGCAGTATAATGTTTCGATGTAGGTGTCTCATATTCTCATCATTCCATATATTGACGGATATGCGCGTTTTAATTTTAAATACCTTCTGCAAGGTCAATAGCTGTTACATCACAACACTTCGGGGAACAAAGGGCCAGAAATAGTTAGGTTCTGCTTGTTTTGAATTAGTTAGTTTCTTTTTTCGGATAAAACAATTGTAAAAAGAACTAAAGCTTTAGAATAGCACAAAGTAAAAACATTAAGGGAACTTTGGGAGATCTACAGCAGTATTAAACTCAATTGATAAATATTATGGTCCGATTCTAAAGTATTCAATACATTATCACACATAATATATTTAATCTATTGTCCCACCTTAGTATAATGAATACAATCTCATCCAGTATAAACTTCCTTAAATCCCAAGCATCTGATATATTTAAATTGCTAGCAGTATTATACATGTAACAGAATCAAGATCTTAAGTAAAGAAAAATCAAAATTTAGAAATCTTACATTATATCTAAAAATATAAAATATCCTTAGATGTTTTATCATAACATATTTACCTTTTGAATTCGAAATACTTTAAGACGCAGAAACCAATAGTTGTCTTTCAGGTTTTCCAATGACCTTGATGTGCAATATAGGTATTACTTCCTTTTCATATCCAATGGCTCAAAATGCATAATTAAATGACGTAATCTTTTTCTTATTCATTGTTTAAAACGTCAATATCCAAAATTTTCAAATTACTTAGATTAGATTGGATTGCCATAGTTATATAGTTACATGCAGTGCAGACAGGAATAGACACATACTACGAGACACCCTGAATAAATCCTTTTTTCACCATTGATTAACAACATGTGTTATGTAATAAAATAGATTGACCTAGATTCACCTGAACGGGTTTTATATCAAAATAGAACTGTTTTGGAGTGTTTAAATCTTTATAAAACCTACTTCTATGCATTTATTGTTTTTAAAAAATCTTAAATTCATTGCAAGGGTTTCCTCAAGCAATTAAATATCAGTTAAACAAGTTTGATAGACATGTACTGTATCACATTTCTCCTCCATGACCAGGCAATTTAGTAGTGAGTGTTTCAGGAATATCAAAGCGCGACCATGCGGATTTTTCAATTAGTCCTTCTTTAGATCACGTGGCTTCAATAGTGTTCAACACCAATCGACTATTGTTATTGATGGTATTCAGCCATGAAGAGAAGACTGCAGTCTACTTGATAAGTAAACTTTTCATCGCCTTTCAGTAGAGAGGCTAGCCATACTTAATTTTATACCGTCTGCACTGAATGAACAGACCGCTGACCAGGGTTAAATACTCATGGTCCATCCAATCTTTGAAGGGCTACTTGTATACTAAATAATAATTATATTCTAAATAATTAAAGTATTCTAGAGTATATAATCCGAGTGACCAGGCTCTCGTGTTCATGGTGTTGGTTACATGTAAAAACTACAAACTTTTATCGTTGTTTTCCTCTGGTTATTATGTTAACCTAGATGACTACCATGTATTTGTTTATTTTTGAAGTCCATAAAAATAAAATAAGTTTTTGTTTAGTACCAAAACCTTGGTATCGAAAATGCACAAAACAAGTCGTTACATAATTTGGTCGCAACTTGTGGCTATGGGGAACATTAAATACCCAAATAATTACGATAATTTTTTTTCTCTTTTTGTTTTATCATATTGTAACTTGCTGTTATATATGACCTTGACATTATTGTTAAAATGACTAAGTAAGAGCAGGGATTAATCAGCCTTCATGCTTATTCTATTTAGTTAAAAATACACTCGTGATAAAAAAAAAGCACCCGCCAGAGATTTCTTTAAAGTAGGCAACCTACCATAGATGAGCAGGATTTAATTACAGAGGGTGTAAGACTTTACTCTGTTAGGACAATCACCTTACCAAATAATAGATGGATTTTTTGACATATTTTGCCTCGAAGTTATTCTCCTTAGTTGCCATCTTGTAGGACAAGGCAGTGAATTTTTAAGCAACCAATCTTAAACATGCATGCCAGAAATATATGGTAAATAATGTTGAAAATCTCAAGATTATGAATTAAATGAGGCTTTAACAAACGTATTTTCATCAGAAAAATAGTGTAACTGTACCTCAATAACCAGTATAAGAAATAACTTGGTTGAATATTGAAGGGATCTGGGAATGTTTTCCCCACAACATGCCGCCATGGGGAATAAATCGTGCTTAAATTACTTCAGTGGAAAACAATCTAGAAATGTGATACTAGTCTAGGCAAAGAAGTAGCCCCTGTTATGATGTTTTTAAAACCTTGGCATCGACTGCAGTCAACCCCGCTACTAACTTACTCATAATTCCTTCAAATAACCTGACAAACGTCTTTCTTTATCATCTATGTAGTTTTTTTAACAGCAATTGTCATGCCGAGTCAAAGTCAGAATTTGAAGTCCTTCAACGGTATATGGTGATGTCTCTATATGAGTGAAAAATGTTCGAATAGGACGTAAAATTAATCACTCCTATCTTACCCGGAAAAAGTAAGTTTTACACAAATGCTTTGATTACCATATGCATATTGGAGTTTAATTTGATAACGCACTGGTCTTTGGTCATATCAATACCAGTATACGCAACTGTAAATGTTTGGAGAAATGTTGAGTCTGTTATTGAAGGGAAATTGAGAAAGACTCTTCTATTCAGTACTATCAGCAATTAGCATGGCTTTGCAATCTTCAGCAAATAAAGCTTCTGGATCATTACCAGATTATCTAGATTAATCAGATTCTAATGAACTTTTGGACAATTTGAAATCACAAGACTTTACAAAAATCAACAGCTAAAAACAACTTACGACTTTTCAACTTTATACACAACAATTCCCCACGACAAATTAAAATCCAAGCTTTTTGATTTCATTGACAGCTGCTTTTTCAATAACAATGACACTCGTAGATTTACTAACCTCGTCATTGGTACATGTAATTTGCAAAATTATTTTGTTAAACCAGATTCTAATTGCACACATAAGTACTCTGAAGTTGACATCAAGAAAATGCTTGAGTTTCTGATTGACAATATCTATGTGGTTTTTGGAGACAAGGTATTCCAACAATCTATTGGAATTCCCATGGGTACCAATTGCGCTCCGTTATTAGCAGACTTATTTTTATATTCATAT